TCTTTGTAGTGTTGCCGTTAATCAGTAGGGCTTTCGGGTTAGTGTTTTTGGCAATGATAGCGTGTATCCCTCCCCCAAACTTATCCTATACTACAAAAGGGTTTGAAACAAAAGTTCTCATTGATTCACTTTTGAGTACTTGGAAAAAGTTCGTGACCCACTTCTTGGCATAAACTTGCCCTTTGGAATACCGGGCTTTTTATTTTCGTCTTCCAATTTTCCGAAGACCGATTATTTTATTTTATTTTTTGTTTTGTTTTCTTCTCTTTTTTTTTTCTATTTTTTTTTCATACCTCCCAATTTTTCGAAGGTATATATATTTTTTTTCTTTTTGAACACATCCCCCCAAACTTGATAATAACAATGTCCCCATTGTTGCCAAAGGGACCAAAAGGTTACGGGTTGGGTGCAAGGGTTAAAGTGTTTGGGTTTAAAAACAAAAGGAGGGCCTACATCCTTTTAACTTTAGCATTACGAAAAATCATTCAAGGAGCTTGTACCTGAAATGAATATTGGAACTAGACAAAACAAAATGAAATCCAACACCCATGTCATAAATATCCACACAAAAGAAAATGACATTCCGCAAAGCATACACAAAAGACGGAATGAAAATGTATCTGTACCCAAAAGATATATCCAAAAATAATGTTTAAAGAGGTTGGATCAAAAGTTGAGAATTTAACCATTTGTGCCAAACTGCTCACTGTGGGCAAATAGTGGCTGCATCTGCCGCCTCGGAGCTGTGGACAATGGGAGCAGTAACGGAAACAACAACGGCAGGAACGATCGCAGTGGTGGTAGGCAACGTAGCATCAGCAGGAATGTGGGGAGCCGGAGCAAAGGGCGCAACAACAACGGACGTCGGCAAGTGGGCTTGCAATGGTGGGAAGCAACGGACCTTAGGTGGGCAAAGACCGCTCGGGAATCGTGGAAGTTGGGCTGTCAAGAGAGTATCCTGACGCCCATAGAGTTGTCTTTCCACCCGATTCCAGTCTCTAGTGTATGCCCAATAACGTTCACTCTTCTTTTCCAACTCGGAGACTCGGTCCTCAATACCTCCAACCTTTGACAATAGCGCTTCCAATTTCTGATTTGTTTCCTCCCATTGCAATGCCAAAACGGACAGCCAAGTCGCTGACCCGTACCCCGAGCCTAAAGGGTTGCTCGGTGGTGGATCGGATGGGCTGGCCATATCATCTCCGCATCGTGGGATCTCGGCAGTCGGTTTGGTCATGGGGACAGCAGCTGGCGCAGAAACAGGCATGGCAGGCGGCTTGGTGACAGTAGCGGGTGGCTCAGAAACAGCAACAACCTGCGGTTCAGAAACTGCAGCAACATGTGGCTCGGGAAGGACAACCGGTGGTGCATTTTGTTGGACGGTGGATGGCGCCACGGGCTCTTCCATAGTTCTCTCAACCGGGACAGAAGGCTCGAAATGTACATAGGGCCGAGATGCCCAATGCCGGCGGTCAATGGTGTTTTGACCCAACAAAGGAGAGCCTTCAACAATAGAGTTTGCATCATCAGTCGGGACCCGAGCCTTGGCCAAAAGTTTGGTGATTAAGGCCGGAAAGATCAATCGGGAATTTGTCCTTTGCGTGGCGGTCAAGATTGAGGCGTGTATGATCGGGCCAAGGTCGATGGGTAATTCGCGCATTATACAATAAAGAAGGATGCACCTGTCCCTTGAGATAGTACTAT